GTAACTTGGCAGTCATGCTGATCCATGGTTCTCTTTCTACTTCATTCTCTGATTTGGGTAACTGGGTTATTGCCTTGTCCCTCGTCCTTGCTCCCAGGTTCCAGTTTTGGATTGCCATACCTTAGGTCCTCTGGAGAACACTGACCTCTGTTACCACATTTCCGTGACACTGCTCCTTTGCTCTCTGGGAGGATCCATGCTTCTCTCCTACATTGGTTAGACTACTGACTTACCACCCCAGGAGGCATTGCTCTGACACTAATTCTCATCCCTTATTACCACCAACATCTGTACCAGCGGTACTCAACCAGGGACAATTTTGCCTCCCAGGGGATATTTGACAATGTCTAGAGACATTGTTGATTGTCACAACAGGGGATGGAGGATGAGGGGGGAAATGCTACTGGTATCTAGTGAGTAGAGGCCAAGGATGCTGCTAAGCACCCTGTAATAGACAGCTCCCCACAACAAAGAATTATCTTGCCCCAAAAGTCAAGGATGCCAAAGTTAAGAAACCCTGATCTACACACATTGAGCTCAGTCTGAACTCCTTTCTTCTATCTCTTGCTGCTGAATCTGCCCTTTTCCCGTGGGCACCTTCATCTTGGGAGTCCTGGCTTGGCCTGGTCTGCTCTATCCTGCTACCAACCGTGTTTTATAGAGGTTGCAAACTGTTAGTCTGTGTGTTGGTCTGTGTGTCTGTGGTTGAAAAAGTGTTAAAGATGTTTGGTGTAGATGCTAATATTAAACATTAATAGAGGGCTTCCCTGGTGGAGCAGTGGTTGAGAGTCCGCCTGCCGATGCAGGGGACATGGGTTCGTGCCCCGGTCTGGGAAGATCCCACATGCCGTGGAGCGGCTAGGCCCGTGAGCCATGGCCGCTGAGCCTGCGCGTCCGGAGCCTGTGCTCCGCAATGGGAGAGGCCACAACAGTGAGAGGCCCACGTACCGCAAAAACAAAACAAACAAAAACAAAACATTAATAGACTTAACAAAAATATTAGCTTCTTTTGATAATTTGTATCATCTGGTAATAATGGGCCTGTATTTTCTGTAGCAGCATTTGCATTCCTCTCCAGACAAGGTATGTACTCTGACTTGCCATGGTCACCACCACTTCCAAATCACTCATTTATGACACTTTCCAGGATGCTGTCAGTACTTGAATTTGAAGTCTTTGCTAACACTCTGCCTTGTATATAGTAAGAAATAAAATTACTGGGCTTCCCTGGTGGCGCAGTGGTTAAGAATCCACCTGCCAATGCAGGGGATGTGGGTTCAAGCCCTGGTCTGGGAAGATCCCACATGCTGCAGAGCAACTAAGCCCGTGCGCCACAACTACTGAGCCTGTGCTCTAGAGCCCACAAGCCACAACTACTGAAGCCCGCATGCCTAGAGCCTGTGCTCCGCAACAAGAGAAGCCACTGCAATGAGAGGCCTGCGCACTGCAAAGAAGAGTAGCCCCCACTTGTCCCAACTAGAGAAAGCCCGCGCGCAGCAACGAAGACCCAACACAGCCAAAAATAAATAAATTTAAAGAAAAAAATAAAATTATTGAAAAAAATAAAACTATACACATATGAGGGTGCAAATGAAGTGTGTGATAATGCAATCTCAAGATAATATCTGCAATCTCAAAGTAAAAATGTGGTCTGCAAAGAAAGGTTACTGCCTTGGGCATTTCTGCCAATTTAAATTTAAGGACCTACATTTAAGAACATGTATTTTTTTTTTTTTAAGAACATGTATTTTTAAACTTTTAAAAACTGATGTTCTGCTGTATCATCCATCATGATGTGTTATACTGATCTGTTTATTCTTAATGAGATAAGAGAGAAAGAGCAAAAAGAGGTGCAGAAAGAAAATACGGGGAAATTTGCCCTCAGTTTCACCATGTGGCTATACATATACATACACAGGTACATACATATGCATATATGTGTGTATATATATATATACACACACTACTTTTTTTTCATATTTTATTTTATATTTTTATTTATTTATTTATTTTTTGCGGTACGCGGGCCTCTCACTGTTGTGGCCTCTTCCGTTGCGGAGCACAGGCTCCGGACGCTTAGGCTCAGCAGCCATGGCTCACGGGCCCAGCCGCTCCGCGGCATGTGGGATCCTCCCGGACCAGGGCACGAACCCGTGTCCCCTGCATCGGCAGGCAGACTCTCAACCACTGCGCCACCAGGGAAGCCCCTTATTTGTTTTTTTATACAGCAGGTTCTTATTAGTTGTCCATTTTATACATATTAGTGTATATATGTCAATCCCAATTTCCCAGAGATGCAGAGGTGAAACTAGAGGGATATCTGGGCAATAGAAAAAAGCCTTGCTAGGCAGTAACCAGAAATGAAGATGGGTAGCAGGCAGACTTAGGTCTTTAAATCCAGGTTTAAAGGAAACTGTCATTTATTAAATAGGAAGAGTCAAACTGTCTTGGCTGGCAGTGACTTTCCATTGAGATGTCATATATTTTTCTCAGTTTAGAAGAGCACAATAACAATGCCAGGATGAGGCTTTAGACTTGACTGAAAAGAGGAAATAGCTACTGTATTTGTCTTAAACCATATGTGTTGCTGAAAGGCAAATAAATAATTCTGACTGAAATAAAGACTAATAAAGATCTATATAATCTTAAATCTTTTGAGTAGCCACTGAAGTGAGTGCCAAGCTGCATTGTGGACATGAATATAAACAGGTCCACCCAAGTCCATTAGAAATGTGTGAAAAATGCTTGGTGTGGAGCAAAGTTCAGAGAAGCATCCTTCAAGTTTGTGGTTTGGTTTCCAAAGAATGTGAAGAGGCATATTTACTACAGGGATTCAGCTGCTGTGAGGAACCAAGTTATCACATTCCTGGGTTACATTTACTTCGATACTCAAGTGACAAATATCTAGTTCTGGAGCACAGAACTGTTTATTGAATTAAACAAACTGGTTTCTTATCTATGCAGATTTAATAGATGGTAAAGCTGAAACTCTTTTCTGAGTAAATAGATTTCACTACAAAGAGTTCTGGCAGAAAGAATAGTGATAAATAGTCTATAAAATCCAGATGATTTGGGGAAAGGACGTCTGGTAGAAATGTGTATCATTAAACTTTGAAGTGTGGTTTTAAATGAGGCTTGGCTGTAGAGGGAAACATTTTGTTTATCCACCTTGACAAAACACAAAGATTCTTTCTGGCAGAACATTTGGTGAATGCAGAGGGGTTCAATTTAGTTCCATATCGTTGAGTTGGATGGGTTTTCATGGACCATTGCAGAAATGTATACCTAACAGAACCTTAAGAAAATTTAGGCTCTTATCTGCTTTGATCAGAGAGAAGGATTTGGTGTTTCTGACAGTTGTCTACGTGGATTGCCTTTGTAGAGTTCCCCATACACCCTGATAAAAAAGAACTCAAGAATGTATCTTCTGGGCTTCCCTGGTGGCGCAGTGGTTGAGAGTCCGCCTGCCGATGCAGGGGACACAGGTTCGTGCCCCGGTCCGGGAAGATCCCACATGCCGCGGAGCAGCTCGGCCCGTGAGCCATGGCCGCTGAGCCTGCGCTCCGCAACGGGAGAGGCCACAACAGTGAGAGGCCCGCCTACCGCAAAAAAAAAAAAAAAAAAACAAGAACAAAAGAAAAGAATGTATCTCCTGTAAAATGCATCTCCCGTGAAAAGAACAGGGGCGCTTGAGGGAACCTGTACTCTGCTTCTGATTGAATGACAGGAATGAGTAGAAAGAATCAATGGACATGAGAGAGAAACTCTGGTGAAAACCACAGATCCATTACCCGGCAAACATACATCGTCAGCAAACTTTACTTTTCAAGAGCCATCTACTTAGGGAAGAGAGATTTTGTTGAAAAGCATGTGTGTGTGTGTGTGTGTGTGTGTGTGTGTGTGTGTGTGTGTGTGTGAGGGTGGGGGGAGTTATTTGAGGTCATTGCTCAATATTTTCCACTAACTATCACATATAAACTGTATACCACACCCCAGTTTGTGCTCAAGACGTTTGGCACCAGCAGAATATTTTGCTACCCTTTGGAAAAACGATCTCTGCTTGGAAGGTGTTGGGGCACAGTAGTATTTTATAAAGATTCCCTGTTTATTCACCCAAGAGAAACAAGGGAGTTTTAAATGGAAATTGAAGGTTGAGTGTGATATTGAGGGTTCCTGGGGTTGGGAGGTGGTAGAAAGGTAATTGTTGGATTGCACCTTCCCACCCCAAGGCCTGGCACAGCCTAACCTTGAATAAGAGAAGCGTCTTGCCTATCTGTAGCTCCCATGTCATGTATTGCTTAATGCCATACTTTAAGACAAATGACAATATTCTTTGGCTTATTAGGATAAATGTAAGTGTTTTGGTTTGGCTGGAAAAGACACAACAAAAAAAGGGAGTGTTTTGGTAATGAAGGCCTTTGAAGGTCATACTTAAGCATTTGGATTTTATTGCATTGTCAGCTGGGAGCAAATAAAAATGTTTGTAGCAGGGAGTGGCATTGCTGAATTTTTGTTTTCGTAAAGATCATCTGGTAGCAGTCTGGGAGATATTGCCGCAATTGAAGTCAAGGATGGAAGGGCCTTAGGCAGTGAGAGTTAGAATGGAGATGAGGGAGGCTTATCTGAAAGACATTCATTTAGGAGATTAATAGAAGCTTTCAGGAAGCTTAGCTAAGCTAGGATAACCTTCACAATAACTTTTTTTATTTAGTTGTCATTGAAAATCAACCCTGGATAGAAAAACTATAGCTAATTTCAGGCATACAAAAGTTTTATTCCATTTTAAAGGCAATGGGGTGGGGGAAGAGAAAATTTTTTTCTTTATGAAAAAAATACAATTGAATCAAGTGCACATGAAATAATACCTATTTTCACTCTGCTGAGATCAAGGTCTTTTCATAAAAGGCACTTGCAGGCTGATTTGCATGTCCTACCCTCAGGTTCCACTAGGACAGTTTAAGAGAACACAGCACAGATTTGAAAGGTCAACGCCTACTTACATAACAGTTGATTTAATGCTCCACCCAGAAGTTTGTGTCCCAATTTGTACAATCTGTATGGCTCTGTTGATTGTGGGGAGGAAAACAGAGTGAATGATTAACCTTGGGTCAGGGAGAAACTTTCAGGCTTAATTTCTTTGCAAGACTTTAAGATAATGAACACATGGGTAAAATTTAAATATCAGGCCATAACGTGGTCTATCGCCTCTGGAATCAGAATGCCTGCTTTCAAACCCCAGTCTGTTTCTTCCTGGCTGTGGAATCTTAGACAAATCACCTACTACCTTGAAGCCTCAGTTTCCTCATTTGTAAAATGAGAGTAGTAATAGTTCTAACTCATAGGGTTGCTAATGATGATCACAAAAGGAAATCCTCAGAAAGTGACTAGGTCAGTGCCCGGCACAGAGAGCATGCTCAATAATTATAGCTATTGATTACTACCAGTTGAAGACTAAAAGCAATACACAATGGAGGGGGGTAGAGGGAAAGTAGAAAGGTAATGGGATTTCTTTGTATCACTTCAGGAGAAAAATGAGAAGATTTAAGTACAGATTTTAAAACTTGTTTTGCGTGTTTTATATTTTGAAAAATATTGATCTGTATTGAGATCACACCTTGTTAGATGCCTACCTTCTGAAGGCAGTTGGGGGACCCCTATGTCGAGCCCCCAAAGGCCACTATTATCCCCAAATCTGACCAAGAGTGGTGAGAAAATAGACACTGTAAAGCATTATATTTCTCTTACTTTTTAAAAAAGCTATTTTCATCTTTTGTTAAAGGTCTAGGTCTTTACCTCACTTTTCTCCAAATTTTATCTAGAGTCTGGGAAAGAATCACCACCATTAGCAATGTAATGTTTCAAAGCCTTGGTCAGAGCAGAAATCCCTAAATTTCCTTAAAAAGTGATTTCTATGTATGCAAATAATTTTTTTGGCAAGAAGTAGGCACTTAATTTGGAAACCTTGATGCCATAGGACTTCTGTAACTCTATTTTTGTAGGGCATATGACTAGATAGCTACTGGAGATCTGAATTGTTCGATTTATGTCGTGGATATTTTCATCCACATAAGCAGTCACAACTAGAGCTTTAATCCTTTTTAGGGTCTTCTGGGCAATGTTATGTCTACTGAAGAACTGATCTTGGAAGCAGCAGCCACAACAGAATACCTACCAGATTATTAAACTGCTCAAAAATTGATACCACCCATGGTTTAGACAGTAAAAAAAGGTTGTACGTGACTATGTTGGTCTGCGTCTAAAATCGTTAACCATGGCCTGAAATCTCTGCAAAAATATGCTTCAGAAAACTCAGGGACACCGAGTGGAAGTTTGTGCTGCTACCGTAATACACCTCTGTTTTCTGTTTCATCATTACTTGGCACTAAAAATGTTTTGGCCTTAATCACATATTGTCAATAACGTTGACAGAAATCTAGGAGGAATTCCCAGTTGAGGATAGAAACTGAATTAGCAGCTATTATATGCTTATTCAATTTGTATCATGATATTTCCTTTCTAAAAAAAAAAGAAGGAACAACACTCAAGTAATTTGCAAAATGTATTGAAGTTGCAGACACTTCACAAAACTATTCATCATCCAGAGAGGTAGTTAGTGAACTTGGTAAAGCAGGTGGAAGGGAAACTTGTTTTGGTAGCAACGGTAATGTTTTTCAAGACAGAAGCAGAAAAGTGGGGGGAGGTGGGAGGGACAACAATTCTAGAACTTCCTCCCATTCATACAAGATTACGCCTGAAAATATTTCTGCCTTTTTTTCACTTAGAAGGAGATATAGGAGGGAGTATAGGATCAAATGTAGTAGCGGAAGATAAAATAAAGCACCATTTGAAAGATTTGCCCATTGACAGTAAACAAACAGTTGAGTTCCACAATCATTATTGCGATGGTTGAGAGACATCCTTCATGAACACTTTTAATTATTTGACAGTAGCGAAAGTAAAGCTAGCAGGCTCAGCGTTCCACTTTATCGTGGTCAGTCTGTATTAGGTGCAGTTTGTGAGGTCTGCAAAAACAGATGTTGAGGAGGCCACTGGAAAAAGAAGCAGTGCAGAAGAAAGGACTCCAGAGACTGAATGATATCTGTTGGAATGGTTGAAGGAATCAGTGAGAAAGGAAGACTAAAGGAGTCTGAGATTGCCGCGCTGTTTATAGTAGCCAAGATATGGAAGCAACGTAAATGTCCATTGACACATGAATGGATTAAAAAAAAGATGTGGTACATATATGCAATGGAATACTACTCAGCCATTAAAAAGAATGAGATAATGCCATTTGCAGCAACATGGATGGACCTGGAGATTATCGTACTAAGTGAAGTACGTCAGACAGAGAAAGACAAATATCATATGATATCACTTATATGCTGAATCTTTAAAAAAAATGATAAAATGAACTTATTTACAAAACAGAAACAGACTCACAGACTTAGAGGATGAAATTATGGTTATGGAGGGGGAAGGGTAGGGGAGGAGGGATAGATTGGGAGTTTGGGATTGACATGTACACACTGCTATATTTAAAATGGATAACCAGCAAGGACCTACTGTATAGCACAGGCAATACTGCTCAATATTCTGCAATAACCTAAATGGGAAAAGAATTTGAAAAAGAATAGATACATGTATATGTATAATTGAATCACTTTACTGTACACCTGAAACACAACACTGTTAATCAACTATGTTCCAATATAAAATAAAAATAAATAAATAAACTAATTAATTAGAAAATAAAGGAGTCTGAGAGCTGTTTTCAGATACTTGAAGATGAGGAAAAAGTAAGACATTTATGCTGTCTTAAGGTCATAAATAGTAAGATATTTATGTTGATTCCAAAGTTGGAGCTAGGGCAAAAAATTAGTTGGCATAATAGCTAGGAAAAGTGTGACTTAGTGGATGGGATTTCCCTGGTGGTCCAGTGGTAAAGAATCCACCTTCCAACGCAGGGGACACAGGTTCGATCCCTGGTCAGGGAACTAAGATCCCACGTGCCGCGAGGCAACTAAGCCCACGCGCCACAACTACTGAGCTCGCGCGCCTCAACGAGAAAGCCTGCGTGCCACAAACCACAGAACCCACGCACTCTGGAGCCCGTGCGCCACAACTACGGAGCCCATGCACCCTGGAGCCTGCGCACCACAACTAGAGAGAGAAAACCCTCATGCCACAACTAGAGAGAAACCTGCGTGCCGCAAAAGAGCCTGCGCTGAAGCAAAAGATCCCGCATGCCTCAACGAAGATCCCAAGTGCTACACCTAAGACCCAACGCAGCCAAAAAAAAAAGAAAAGAAATAAATTAAATAAATATTTAAAAAAACGTTTGGCTTAGTGGAACCAAGAACTTATAGCTATTCAAAACCTACCAACTGGAATTCCCTGGATGCCCAATGGTTAGGGCTCCATGCTTCCACTGCAGGGGGCCTGGGTTTGATCTCTGATCAGGGAACTAAGATCCCGCACGCTGTGAGACGAGGCCAAAAAAAAAAGAAAACCAACCAACAAACCAAAGAGATATTTATACATTGCACTTGAATGGCTGCTGGTGGGGACACTGTAGATGGCACTGACATCTGCACTCAGGGGGTCTTTAACATCATCCATTAAGGACAAGAGTCTATGATAATAGACATTACTTTTGAGCCCTTATTCTCTATTTACTGCTTAGGAAACTGAAGGTGAGGAAACTGCAAAAACCATTCAGTTGGCAAGTTGCCATGGTTAGATTCTTATCGAAATGTGTAAGTGCCCAAGTTCTTACCCTCTGGGCACCCAAGGTACAAGAATCCTTTCTCAAGAGTGTTTAAGGAAATAGTTTTTGAGAATGACACTGAATTTAGAGAATAATTCTACTTTCCTTTTCTAGAACTATACCTGTGGCTGAATAAAAAAGCAAAACAAAAATAAACCACTCTCCCCTGCAAATGAGGAAGACTACGTAGGAGGAAGCTCAGAATGATATAAGATAAAGAAATCCTCTTTGTTTTTTAATTAGACCCTTTCTCACCACTCCTCACCGCCCCCCCCCCCCCCCCCGCCAAGGCCCAGGGGACCCAGCTTGTGAGAACGGTTTTTATCTTTGAGCTTGTGTTGTGGCTACACAGTAGTGCTCTGCCAGAGGCCCATATTTACCCAGAATCTATTCTATTCCTGGGCCTGGTTCTAACTCTGCTGTTAAAGTTACTGCAAATGTGGAAAAGTGAAGAACCAAATTACCAGACCAGGAACCAAATTACCAGACCAGGAACCAAATTACCAGACCATGGCTGGACTCCTATCCAGCCATGGCAGCTGGATTCTGAGGACATTAGGCAAACACATATTCTTTACTGCTCCATAGCAGGTTAAGTCTCAAGTCCCCTCGTGGTCTCTTATGGTGACCTGGGCCATATATGGACTGCATTTGCCCAAGAGCCTCTTCTTTCTGCCGGGACCCCACTGTGATTTCTTCTTGTCCTACAATGGGCAAGGGTACTTTCAAATGGTGCATATCCACATCTTGGCTTAACACTTCAGGCACAGGACATAGGTGAGAGAGAAGAAAATCAGAAAGAGGAAGAAAAATTTAATCCAGTTTCTAGTTCTTTTTTTTTTTAAATTAATTTATTCTTTCTTTATTTTTTTATTTGTGGCTGCACTGGGTCTTCATTGCTGCGCGTGGGCCTTCTCTAGTTGCAGCGAGCAGGGGCTACTCTTCGTTGTGGTGCACGGGCTTCTCATTGCAGTGGCTTCTCTTGCTGCGGAGCACAGGCTCTAGGCACGCGGGCTTCAGTAGTTGTGGCACGTGGGCTTCAGTAGTTGTGGCTCGCAGGCTCTAGAGCGCAGGCTAAGTAGTTGCGGTGCACGGACTTAGTTGCTCCGCGGCATGTGGGATCTTCCCGGACCAGAGCTCGAACCCGTGTCCCTGCATTGGCAGGCGGATTCTTAACCCCTGCGCCACTAGGGAAGCCCCCCAGTTTCTATTTCTGATCAAAGCCCTCCAACCAAACCCCACTGTGAGGCTCTGAGGACTCCATTTTGTCCTCACCTAGCAGAGCCCTCAACAGGA